ATTTTCACAGTGGGCCAAAATCCCAGGAAAACGTCCCCCGTGCTTTAGATTCTGCGTTTATAATACTCAAGTTTCAAATTAACTTCTATTGTAATAGATAGAGCCAGAAAAATGTTACAAAAGAGAAATGTTTTTATTTTGAAGTCGTTGCGGGGTAGATAAAGACAAAGAAGGAATTTATTAATTTTGAATTCTGTTCAGGAATGAAATTACCTTTACCAGGCGGATTGATATTTTTTTAATGGCTTTTGAGGGGAATAACATAGAGGGCTCCGATTTTCACCGTTAGAAAGAGAAGATGAAGATGTATCAAACCACATACAAAAAGAGTTTTCGGACTGCTTTTCTAAGAGTTTTAATCTAACTTTCTAAAAGAATAGCTACCTTCTGATATGTCTGACAAAGTGATTTCCATCAAAATGCAACAAAAACAAAGATTGTTTCAATTACTTTCTTCGAAAAACGACGTGATAAGTTATACTTCAATGGCTAGAATATCCTATTGGTTGCAGCTAGGAATAGAATCTTTACGCACTTTTGTGGTTCTTCGGTTGGTGGTTCTAACATACTTCTGAAAAAAATGAATACCACCATCACAGATGGCATGTTGTTTTTCTAGAAAATTTACATGAACTCTTTGGGAAGCAGTTCGAAAACTCTTTTTGTGTGTGGTGTGATATATCTTCATCTCCTCTTTCCAACGGTGAAAATCACAGCCCTCTATGTTATTCCCCTCAAAAGTCATTAAAAAAATATCAATCCGCCTGGTAAAAGTAATTTCATTCCGGAACAGAATTCAAAATTAATAAATTCCTTCTTTGTCTTTATCTACCCCGCAATGACTTCAAAATAAAAACATTTCTCTTTTGTAGCATTTTTCTGGCTCTATCCATTACAATAGAAGTGAATTTGAAACTTGAGTATTATAAGCGCAGAAATTAAATTTCAGAAAGAGGTAAGTTTTTTTTGGACCATCCTGTATAATTATGCTAGTCACTAAAATTTGTGAAGTTTCTCGAAGTCAAAGCTGGAGTTACCAGAGTGGAAATTTTCTGAGTCAAAAAGTTTGACTTCATGTGGCTCGACAAGGTAGATGTTCAGAAAGAACGTTAGCTGAGTAAGTAATGCGATTGGTCACATTCGAAAGGTGACAAAAACATTGGTAATCAGTAAATAACGAATAATGATCCATTGAAATCTTTCTCATTTAGGTTTCATAAATCTTCGCATAATATTGTTCAACTCAAATTCGTAAAAAGTGTGCAGATTGAAATCATAATACGAGTCTCATGATTTAAAAAAAGTGCTCCTTACGTTGATAAAATACTTATTTAATACTTTCTTGGTTAGTTTTCACAAGTGTCGTTCAGTACTCCGACAACTATGTGCGCATATAATTTCTGTACCATAAAAATGACGTTTTGATCTTATAAATATTCTTTCTATTATTTCTTAGAGATGCTTATAATAAATGAATATATAATTATTGAATATTTTATCTTGAACACTTCATAGTTTAGTTTTAAAATTTCAACTTTTTTATTTTGTAATAGCAGAATATTTCAAATTAAACGAAATCTCTATTTATTTAGATATTTCTTTATAAATTCGATGTGGTTAAAAGACGATTTCAAACGATATCATTATCTTGTGGTACTTCATACAATCTGCACTATAGCATTTGTTGTACGTTTCATTGTTTTATGTACGGATTTATCATCTGCTAAAAGTGATTCAATAGCTTTCCCTGTGATAATATTATTATTGGAATTAGGATCATCATTTATCACTCTTATTGGAAATTGTATCTATATTTTTCTTCGTTATCTTGGACCAATTTTATTTGAATCTGATCATGAAAAAGTTGGATGTTGTTCTCAATTATTTGCTTGGAATTTATCAACATTAACAGTTTTCGTTGTGAATGTTATCGAGAACATCCTCAACTTGTTTTAGTAACTCGATTAAGTATTTTAATTTTATTTGAAGCGATGCGATTTATAGCATTTATACTTGCTTGTGTATGTGCAAATAGATATGGACCAATAGGTTTAGGTTATTCGATATTGGCTGCATTTTCATTTGTTCCTGCTGTAATTTTATTAGTTGTTGAATATCTTCATCATCATCGCTTATGGTTTCATTATCGACCAGACACTTCATCGGAAGAAAAACCCCAATACATCAATGAACACAAGCGTTTCTTACCAATTGCAATGACAAATGATCAACAAACAAGTCATTGGCAAAATTCTCGATGTGACAAAGGAAAAGATTGTTTGTCACGAAATTTATATCATGTAATTATATATCATTCAGGAAACACACGCTATCCACCTGAACAAACAAAGGATAATCAAATTGTTGTTGGATTTCATCAAACAAGTCATGCTGCTGCTTATTCTATTGCAAAGACACAGTTGAAACCTTCGAGCAATGGATGGATCGGACCAGGTATATATTTTGCAACATCACTTAATCATACAGAATTTAAAGCCAATCAATTTGGAGCATATATTTGTGCGAAAGTCGATTTAGGTAAAACAAAACGAATTACTCATCCTAAGGATTGGTCTTCAGGAGATCAATGTGACACAGTTTACTACGAACATCCTCATGGTGCTGATGAATTTTGTGTACAAAATGAACGACAAATTCGTTCTTGGATTATAGTCATTGATCAAGATCCAAATGTGCGTTTCTTACAAGAAAAAAATAATAAACCCCTACCATCCGGAAAATACGTTGAAGATCGATTAGAAGATATTGTTTATCAAGGATGTTGGCTTTAACTATTCAAAAACTATTTAACTATGAAATATTTCTTTTCAAAGAAATATTAATAAACTATAAGACTTCTTTTAAATTTTTGCTAAAATCAATAAAATGCTCTTCTCATTTGTAGTGTGAATAGAAAAAATATGACTTTTTCATTGTTAAAACAAAATGATGAATCGATTTGTAGACATATCTAATAATTAATTTAGGGTTGATAACGATTCATGCCTTCGAGATATGTTAATTAGACAAACTTTTTTCAACATAAAGGTAGCTAACTATGTTAACTTTTGAATGGATAGATACATTTTCATTTGTATTATGTAAAGCTTCCAGAATGAAATATTTGACTGACAAAAATACCGTGAACATGATAACTTCATACTGAGCTAAACGATTTCATTAAAATTATTTTCGACAATCAAGATTCATAAATGTCGAACGATAACTGTTAGCATTAGTTTTAGACGAAGTAATGAAGATGAAAGTGAAAGAAAAGAAAAAGAGTGAGAACATACATATGTCGTATCGAAGTTATACCGGTCAACGAAATTATAATTTCGTCAGACAAAATTGACGAAATTACTGTAATTCAACCAAATATATAGTTATTCATGTATGCTAACGATATTAATGCTTGTAACTAAAGATAGAGATCTTTAGAATACTATACTCTGATTTAAACTGCACATAACTAAATAATTGGAACATCACTCATACTAAATTTTATTCGAGGATATTTAGCATTTTTTGTTGTGAACTTGATTATTCATTTTCCAGTAAATGCAAAACTGAAAATGAAGATAAATGAAATCCTTTAGTGAAAATAAAAGTAAAGACAAGATCATGGTAAAACACCTAGCTCAAGGAGCAGAATCTCTGCTCTGGAATGTGGTTTTATTCTAGGACAGTCACGATATGCTATATACTGCAAAAGGTAGATCCGACTGTTTAAATAAATATAATAAATCTAGAAAATGAAGCTCTTATAAAATCTCGTCGATGGCATTCTAAGGTTGAAAGTTTCTCTTACTGCTGTATTTAGTACTATTATGGAGTTTGTCTGATATGTTCGTCTGTGAGATTTGCTTCACTAGTAGAATTTATATTTGACTGATCCATACGTAATTCTGAGACGTAGTATTAAGATATCCAATTAGGTGAAGTCTTTGTTTGACTTAGTATGAGTTTGACTCTGGTAAGAGTTTAACTGATATTTATATGTAGTATTTTTCTTATTAATCTAAAGTTAAGTGTTATTTAAGTCAGAGTATAGTATATATAAAACATTTATCATATGATCAAGTAATTGATAATTATTTTTTTATTTGGTTTAATTAAAGTAACTTCAATACAATATATATGACAGACAAATATAAAATATAGTGCTGGCCAAAATCATAAGAACAGACTGTTTTTTAGCGTTTTCATTACTTTTTCATATACTTTTTAAAAACTTTCCATGATTTGTGTGTCTAAACAATATGCAATCAAGTGCGCTCTCTTCGACGGTGCATTCAGATTTCCTCATTTCAAATTGAAAATTTGAGAAAATGCAAATTTATTAATGTGAAAAACTCGAAAAATGCTACTGTTCTAGCTTAGTTCTTTCACTACTAGAACAAAAATATAGATGATTGTGCTTTTTTCACACGTGCATAAGATACGAGAGACTTTTTGTTACAAAATAAAACCTTTCTGCCAGCTCTGATAAACACTTCGTTAGAAAAATAACAAAACTTTAACGTTTAAAACACAAAAAATCCCCATTTTCAAGCCAAATTTCGTACAAAAAATACGTTTTCTTTTTAAACTGTTGTTATTTTTCTAACGAAGTTTTCATCAGAGCTGGGCGAAAGGTTTTATTTTGTAACAAAAAGTCTCCTGTATCTGATGCACGCGTGAAAAAAGCATACTCATCTATATTTTTGTACTGGTAGTGGAAGAACTAAGCAAGGACAGTAGCATTTTTCGAGTTTTTCACATTAATAAATTTGCATTTTCTCAAACTTACAATTTGAAATGAGCAAATCTGAATGCACCGTCGGAGAGAACGTACTTGATTGCATATGTTTAGACACACAAATCATGGAAAGTTTTTAAAAAGTATATGAAAAAGTAATAAAAACGCTAAAAAACAGTCTGTTCTTATAATTTTGGCTTGCACTGTATCCTTCTAATTTCAAAGCCTTGATTACATAGTATTAAACATTCAACAAGAATACAATAATAATAAACAAATTCTATTATTGTTCATACAATATTCACAACAATTCAAACACTTGGATGCCAATGTAGTACTATCGTTATTCTCGATGAACGTTGATTTTTTTTCATTTCTATTTTGATTCAAAAATATTTATAAAGACTTCTTAAATGAACATGAATTAGCAAATGAATTGGTTATTTATGCTGATGCATAATTATATGATAGTAAGGAAAATGCTTTTAATTTAGTTTCTTATATATTTCTGATGACATTATATGTTCTTATTTCGGTAAAACTTAATTCATCAATGCACGTGTACAATTATGTCTACCCTTTGTTCTGATAATAACATATAATCAAGTTTTAGGAAACTATGGCAAATAAAGCCCATTATCATTATCAAAATTATACGTATAAATTTTGTTGTCACTCTAAATCAATTCGATAAAAAAAAAGCAAAAAAAAAACTTTTAAATGAAATAAATTCTAATTGAAACACGAAACAATTAACAAAGGATTTTATATGACACCGTACTAATTGGTATACCTCTTTTTGTTTCATTTTTTTCACATATAAAGAAACAACTTTCTTTAATTAAGTAGAGCCAACAATGATGTATTTTCTGTCGCATAATGAATTTTTCTAGCAATATTTTAAAACCGTCAAAAAGACAAAAGAAAAATCTCTTATTCTGTATCCTTATGAATTGAAAAGATTATGATTTTGATGTAGAATTATGTTAAATAAAATACATTCTTATTATCATTGGTTTTATGCATTTTATTAATTTCACATGAAAACCGTGATCTTTTCTTGATTGAAATCAAATAATGGAACTGAAATTTAATTTAGTTCTTTCTTTACTTAGATTCATTCGTATTGTTACTTTGCACGATCGATTTTGAAATGGAACAACTTTTCATGTCTGTCGATAATTAACAACTAAGAAGAATGGATAACAACAATCAAAACTTGACATTTTTTGTATTATGAAACATGATCTAAAAGGAGTGTTGAAATATAGAGATGAATATTTGAGCCCTCCCTACGCGTCACAGACTGTATATCAATAACATCTCGTTCTAATATATAAACTACTTCCTTATTGCATTTCTCGAAAGTCAAGTAAAAGGATGATGAAGAAATGTGTTCTAAAATAGATAGAATAAAATAATTTGTCTGTAATTAGCAACAGCAGCTACACCTTGTTTCACACTTTAATCCTGCAGAGATTGATCTAGCAGTTTTTTTTTATTGAAACAACCGAAAGATAGAATTAAACATAAGAAGTTTTCTTGAAAATTTTCTAATATCAATTCATGAAAAGTCACTATACTATAATGACATTTTCTCAATTGGCGAAAATACATAGAAATGAAAATTCAAGAAATGCGTTCCAATAGGACTCTACTTTCGATAGTGTTGTCTGTTTCAATAATAGTTAAAAGCTTTCAGAACATATTTTAAAAAATATTCAATAAAATGTATTCAATTCTACACACTTTTAATCTACTAACATGTTCCAGGTTTGCTTTACTTCATGTCGAAGAAAAGAAAATTATAGTGTGAGATGTTTTATATTCAATGATGAGCCAATATAGACTCGAGTAAGGGCAACGTACATCGTAAAAAAAAAAGAAAAAAAAAGACTAGTGAAAAGAATGCCGTCAACTTCTGAATCTCTTTCTTTCTATATTATATAATCTCGTGCTACATCATAAGTAAGTCTCAACTGAATACATGAATTAATTGAAGTAATATCATCACTGAGGATGGTAATGATACGACTTCTCTAGTTTATCACAATAGTATATTTTATCGTCATTCAATTTTCTAAGATACATACAAATTTTTAAAGTTTAAACAAGTTTTTGTGCAAATTTCTACTACATAAGTAAATGAAGCTTGAATATAGTACAAATAATAAATAAAATTTCTCTTTATTTTATTTTAAATGGTATTTTAATGATAATCGCAAAATAGTTTCAATAAAAGAAGCTTATTTCAACTTGTGTTTATGTTAATATAGATGAATTTTAATTAAAAAGTTGAGTAGTCTTTTATGTTTAACGGGACCATTAGTAAACGATCATGAAAAAATACTTCAGAATAAGACAACGACAGAAATAACTATTCATGATGTTTTTTCTTCAGGAAGACCATGTCAATTGTAACTTTTTAAATTAATTCTCTTTCAGATTCTTGTAGATAGCGTTTTCTTTTTTTTTCTCTTTTTCCTTACATTTCAACAGACGATATTATCTTCTCCAGAACTAATTAACGAGCGAAGCATCATGAATGGGTACGTTTTGCATTTCATTTTTTCGTCACTTGATTTGTTTTATTAAAAAAAAAACAAAATATACCACCAGATGCAGTATGAATAACTCTACAATTTACAAAAACAAGTTTATTTTCTATATGCACCTTTTCTTTTTAAAATTGATAAAATTCCGTGTGATCAATTTTTGATGCTGCAAACAATCATGGTTTTTACCTTTATCACATTGGATATTGTTGATGATAGTGTCTCATCTGTAATAATTCAAAAAATTAAAATCAGGACTATTTGGTGGGCATTTATGATTGTTAATGAATTCCACGAAATTTTCTTTACACCATGCCAACGATTCTTGATGTGTATGTGGTGTGGCATTGTCTTCTCAGACTATGAAAACGTCATCTAGCAGCTATTTACCTTCAGATTGTGCATGTAGAAGAATAACTTCAATACAACTCTCGTGTGATAATGTTTCACCAGGTTTAAAAATAATTGGAGACGTAAGGCTATTATTAGAAGCATCTAATCATACCATAATTCTTTTTTGATACTTAGTCGTTTGATTTATATTACATTGTTTATCTTGCAGTACAAAGGAATTCAATTGAAGGATATTTTTATCAATGAACAGAATTGTCTTCAATCGATCAGATAAAAAAGCGAATTGATTGTTTATCAAAACTATGGTATTGTTTGCAGCATTAAAAATTAATCACACAGAAATTTGTTCATTGTGAACAAGAAAGGTGCATATGTAAAATAAGCTGTTGTTTGTAACTTGTAGAGCTGTCTAAGTTGCATCTTGTGGTATATTTGATTTTTTTTAATACAATGAATTAAGTAATGAAAAAACGAAATGCAAAATGCGGTTATTCATTATGCCTCACTCGTTATTTGATTAAAAAAAAGCACTAAAACACACCGACACACCATAACTTTTCTTCCTCTTCCTTTGTCTTTTTTCTTTCTGTTAAAACTACGTTAAAGATGTAAGTCGATGCATAAATCCAGAATGGTGGTTGATTTTATCCTTACTTTTTTTCTTAATTCAACGGTAACTCTGAAGCACTCAACTTATATCTTGAATTATGATTTCACAGTGCCTTGGTTGGCAAGACGTTGATAACTGGTAGGATTGATTTTCTTTTGTTATCTACATCTAATCCACTATCACATCGTAATTAAAATTGAAAAAAAAGGAAAAGAGAAAAACTATAATGTGTAGATTCTAGGACATTCCATTTTTTAGCAAAAAAAGTCTGAAGAAGACATCATTATCATTATCTGTTGAAATGTCACAAAAAAAAACAAAAAAAAAAGAATGACTATAATATGACTATTCTTGTCCTCATTCATAGCCGATTAAGTATGCAATTTCCTGTCTCATTTCTTGTATTACATTTATTTTTCTTAGACGGTAGATACTGTAGATCCATATCTGCCATTCACATTGATTTGATTACGATTCTGCATGTAACTGCATACAAGGTACGCATAACGCAAAATTTCAGTTGATTTTACTTTTCATTAATTTATATATGATTTTATAGAGCTTCAACAGCTGGTTATGAATATTTTTTATTTCAATTAGGTTTCCTTTTCATCGTAAAACGCTTCAAATATTGATACCACCGCGAATATGACCAAAATCACTTTTTCTCAAACCAACTCTTAAGTTTCTGTAATTCTTTCTCTTAATTCTCTGAAAATAGTGTTTTTTTTCTAATTCATCATTAAAATCTGATTAGAAAAGGATTCTTTTCTTAGATTTCAAATAAATAATATAAAACATCACTGTCAATAGATGTTGACTTATATCCATGTAACCACCAAATGCGTTATAGACGTAGCTAGATACGTTTTTGTTGCAAATCTACGCCGTTCTGACACATTTTCATATCGAAGCATGACAGACACGCATCTATTGTTTATTTCAAATTATAACGTGTTTCACTGTTTTTTTTGAATAACTCAAGAACGCAATCAGCTATAGATCTTCGATTTTCACTAATCAATAGAGGAGCTAGGGGCACGTCTTTTACCCCAATATTGTATAGGATGAAATCATTTTAAAGTCAGTCATCTCTGCAGAACATTACAAAAGACGTATAAAACAAGTCTATCATTCGGATGAAATTTTGATTTTGACATGTGATCTAGATAGAGGGACTCAGATCTATAGTTCAATATATAATTCGTATGATTATCTTTCCACATCATAATGTTGATCAAATAAAATCTTCTATTTACTCGCACGAAAACTATGGATTTATTTCGATCTTTAAGCAAATTTTCTTACTTTTGGTCAAAATTTCATCTGAATGATAGACCGTTTTTATACGTTTTTTTTGCAATGTTCTGCAGAAATGACTGATTTTAAAATGATTTCATGTTATACAATATTGGAGTAAAAGACATGCCCCTAGCTTCTCTATTGTGATTGGTGGAAACCGCAGATCTCAAGCTGATTGTGTTCTTGAGTTATTCAAAAAACAGTAAAGCACATTATAATTTGAAATGGACAATAGATGCATCGATTACTGTGTTTCTTGAACACGTTTCGAGAACATTCATAGTTTCAGAACACGTTTTTAGACTAAACGCATATAAACGCATTTTAATTTTTATTCTAGAATGCATCGAAACCCACTCATGTCATCTTATATCTCTAATTATGTTTAAGAATTAAAAGAAGCTGTCTCTCTTCCAGTGAACGCTATCTGGTCGATAGAGTAGATAAAATGCGTTTCAAAAAATGTTTTTGTCAATGGATCGAATTCGTCGAAATGCGTTCGGATACATCGGTTTTCGAAACGCCGTTGGATGTATAGTTACATACAGTAGTTAAGAAAGGAGATTGGGTCTTTACGAAAATGTATCCATGAGTCCAGCGTGCTGTTTCTTCGTTGAAATATTATTGCGATTGAAGGAAATACGATGTGTCATGATATTAAGTTTAGAAGATAGTAGCTGAAAGCAAAAGATGACTTTTCTAATTCATTTGGATAAATACATGAGCATTGTATTAAATCAGTTGAACAAGAACAAGAAGCCGAAGTATACATCTATGAATGGTTCTTTATAATACATATGCCAAGAAGGATCATTTTGACAAATATCGTTTTAAGTTCCCAATCGTTGATGAGTATCTTGTTTTCATTATTTCTGTGTTTAAGTAGTTCAGAATCACACAAATTGATCTAAGTGTATAATAAGATTCTAAGCCGTAGACTCTATACGAAAAGGTATCTCTTTTTATTGCAATTAGAATAACTCGATGATATTCTTTTTACTGTCCATGTACTCATGCTTTCACTTCTAAAGCGTTCCTGAGCATCTATAAGCTATGCATCTTGACGCGTTTGAACGCGTCTAAAATGCAACATTTTCAGGTATATGAATTGGCTCAAAAACCAAAGCGTGCGTAAACTCGTCTATGCTGAAAACAGATTAATATGCGTTTTTCGTAGTGAAACATCTTGTGAGCAAGATTTTGAAATCTTGGAATTGGTAAATAAGATCTTATCAAGATCTTGAAAAGATAATTCGTTTATGTATACCTTAATCGTATCAGATAAATCTATGCCTAAGATCTTTGTAAGATCTGTTCAAAGATTCTCACATGTCAAGATCATAGAAAAGATATCAGTTGTGATTATCTTTTCTCAAGATCATGAGTAAAATTAAAAAACGACATCATTAATTTGCTTACATATTTAACTAAGTTGAATTTGATTTAATAGATTCATTATATTAAATGACTAATTCTATCATAATTGACTGTAATTTACATATCTCTTGTTGAAAATATTAAACTGTTAACAAAACTGTACGACTTGTTTTACATTACTTCTGAAAAGTTTTAGGATGCGCATGCAGCAAATTTTGATCTTAAATCTTTGTTATAAATGTCATCATCTTCTACCTAGGCAAACGAATAAATTCTATCAATGTGTTACTTTTATTCTCAATTATTTCATTTTATCTGAATTTTACAAGCACTTTTTCAAATAGACTTGTTAGTTTAACTTTATTGTTATTTATAACAAACAATGCATGAAAATAAAACTTCTACATTGATGCAATAAAGATGCATACAATAAAAAATTTTATTAGTTAAAAGATGAAGAAAGGTAAATAAAAAAGGAATCTTTTTAAATGAAAACCTAGTATTTTATTTTTTTCGGATATGTCAAAAAATTTTGATGTCATATGACAAAAAAGTACATAGACAAGATTTTTTGCAAATATTTTTCTTGTAGCGACGTCAATTTTTAAGAACATTGGCTATTATAAGGTGCTAGTAGTAAGAAAAAAAGTTAATTGATACTTTTATACCATATAGTTATAAATTTATCTATTATAGAACGAGATAGTTTTTTGTAATTTCAATTTTTTTTAAATATTAAAACTTTTTATTTCTTTATTTTAATTTTTTTCATAAATATTAATAATATATTTATCTTGATTTTTTTCTCGATAAATATATTATTTATATTTATTTCGCGAAATAAAAATAAATTAACAGCTCTATTCGCAAAGTTGTAACAAGTAATGGTCTATGAGCTAATGATACGATTGGTTCAAGTTGTCGATGGAAAAAGTACCACTCTGTTGCTCACAGGATTTGAGTGTTATATCATAGGTTGCTATCGTACGTCGATTCAATTCCGACAGTGTGACGGTTATTTTTTAATTTTTTGTCTTTTTTTTTGGGAAGATAAGTAAACGCGTCACAACGCATTCATCTCATAATTCTATCCAAACGCAGCAAAATTTGAAAGCACGTTGTAATTCGTCTCCAATATAGACAAGTTTACACGTTTTCAAACGCTTCGTTGATGTTAACCAGTTGTGATGCTGTTAGATTTGGAACGACCGAAGACGCGTGTGCTAACTATAAACATATTCAAATCCCCGAAGATGTTGCATTTTGGATGCATTTCAACGGATCAAGTTGTATAAGTTATAGACGCTCGGAGACACGTTTAAAGTCTAAAAATGGTTACATGGGTAGCATGTATTTAGAGGAATTTTTGTAAATCCATCTAGGTTTTTGTGAGACACGATAACATCAAATGTCTTATTTGATTCGAATCAGCCTGTTTTGAACTACAATAGTATCCATTTAGTTTTTTTTATATTTTGTTTTATTACTGAGAAAATTGAACATTTTCTAGTTCTGGTAGTAAAAGGGTCAAGAATAGTGTTGTTTATTGTAGTTTTCATTATCAAAACTAAGTCGAAAAACAAAATAAACAACATATTTATAATCAGCATGAAAATCTATACTGGACCACATACATTCTAACAAAATCAATTTTCCATAGAAAACCCACTTGTACTTCCTCTCTCTATTTTTTCTTCTGAAATTTTCCTGTAGACTCTCTGGAGTTGATTTACCATTTGAAACAGAGTTTGAGAGAATATATGTGACCCAGCGTAGGTTTTCACGCTGATTCTGAATATGCTGTTTATTTTGTTTTTCGACTTAGTTTTGATAATAAAAACTACAATAACCAAGATTATTGTTGGTCTTTTTACTACCAAAACTAGAAAATGTTTAGTTTTATCAGTAATAAAACAAAATCTGAAAAAAACTAAATGGATACTATTGTAGCTCAAAATAGACTGATTTAAATCAAATAGGACATGTAATCTTATCTTCTTTCCCAAAAAACTCGATAGATTTACAAAACTCTTTCGAAACACATGCTATAAGTCTACATCTATTGAAAGTGATCTTTTATATTATTTATTTTAAATCTAAGAAAAGAATCTTTTTCTGAGATTCCTGTATCTAAAGGAAGGAAGCATGTGACGATTCAGAATCTTTTACAACTTGTTCTCTACTCATCGAGATCTATCTACCCTGAAAGTTTCATAACTTTTCGTCAAGATATTCTCGAGAATTCTTGAAAAGGGGAATCCATTAAGGAAACTTGAAAGATTACTAAAACTGAAAAAAGTTGCGCAGATTTGTAAGGTGCCGGCAAAGCGAATTTCGAGTGAAAATTATTTTTTGCCTTTTTTTTACATAATTTGATAGAGTTTTGGCTGCTGATTACGAATATCTACTTTTTAACCTTAGTAAAAACTCCCTTCCAGTCGAAAAATACGAAATACTCGAGAGAAGTCGGTTTTCAAGAAAAATGCATCTTTTCACGAGATGTGTAAAATTTTCGACTTTGTTCTATATTTTTGGTGTTGAAGCTATTTTTTTCTGATTCAGCATGATAGACTGAGTCTAGAAAAGTTTTCAAATCGACTCTAGATCCAAAATTGTGTTGATGGTGGCGCATCGAATCTTGTCGAGTGCATCACTTATAGGTGAATTTTGTAAACCTATCTAGTTTTTTCTACGTAAGTGATAGAGGCGAATATTTTATCTCATTCGATGCATCATAACACCAATTACAAAGTTACGCATCGCTTTTTTTGTTTTTGTTTCTTGTGTCGAAATAAGTCGCATAGCAAATCGAGTCGATTTTCTTGGGGGTGGTTTACAAGAAAA